ACACGTTTGCCCTCTCCGCTTCTCCGCGGTACTGTAGGCTACGAGGAAGTACTCCGAATGTCGAAACTTTCGTCCAGGGGGATGTAATGGTACTAATCCTAATAAGCGGTACTAATAACAAGAACAGTTGTCGTTGATGGATGGGACAACGTTTCCATGCCTGTCTGGATGAAGGATGGAAAATGGAGATGTTACGCGCTGCTCCAAATGCGCTATAGTCTCAACTCCTGGTGTCCCCTTTAATCACCTCCATACTAGTCTCCTAAATAATCTCCTGTATAACCCCCTTTAAGGAGTTTAACCTATAGCTCAAATGCTTTCGGGACAACCGTTCTCTAGTTCAAACAGAAAAGTTTGACAAGCTGCCGGGCAGCCTCTGAAGCGCTCTCCGTCGATTCGCCACTTGACGAGAACCTTGCAACAGACAAAAACACACTTACCAGCCAGTCTGATAATGTAAGCATGACACCTCCGAGGCTGAAAAAGAGCTGTTCACTATAATATACTATAATACACCACACTATTGGGGGTATATAGGGGATATGTAGGGCATAATGGAAAAGAAAATGGAAGCTGCTGTAATATAGTAGGGTATCGCAAAATAGGTGTGACGCAAAGGGCATGGCATCAAGAACTTCGACAGCTCGCAACATTTCAGTCTTTGGGCTTGCCTAACTCATGGAAGTACCGCAGCAGCAAAGTGCTTCACACAACTCAGATGCCACACGAAAAGGCCACAATTTGGTAACACTCTGCCCATCCCAATGGAAGACTTATGCAAGCACATTGGGAAACAAATGAAAATGCATGAAGATGTCCCAGGAATACACGGCACTTGCATGCGTGCTGAAACTGTACAACATGAATGCTCATTTGAGCTATAGTCTAAACTCCTTGTATCCCCCTGAATAACCCCTATAATACTCCCTTATATAGTCCCCTTTCTCACCCCATGCAAGGAGTTTAGACTATAGCTCGTTTAAGAACTTGGGAAGTGCAAGCAACTCCGCCTGAGCACAAGACTAGGCATTGATATCATGGTGCTTGTATAATGTAATAGGGTATACATAGGGGATATATAGGGGATAACTATAATATACTATAATACACCACTATTGGGGGTATATAGGGGATATGAAGGGCATAATGGAAAAGAAAATAGAAACTACTGTAATATAGTAGGGTACATGCTCGCAATGAATAACACAAGGGTCTCACAAAATGCTGAAGCCTAACTAGACCCGAACCAACCTCCGCCCCAAAAAAAAACTACATTGCTGCAGCCTCCCCTTCTCTTACAGTCCTATTGGTGTTGTTTGTGTAGGGAACAATTCTAATCAGGTGACAAGCTATCTGAGAACCTGCCTTCCACAATGCAGCCGCTCTAAGCTCGCCGCTGTTCCGTGGGACTTTGCATCTCTTCTTCACTTTCCGCAGCCTTCGGAAACAGCGACGCGTCAAGCGCTGAGAAAACCTCAAAACGCAATCATACACGATGAGGCACATATTGAACGTCATGGGATCATAGAACTGAACGCAAATTGGCACCCTCTACTCAAATCCGTGGCAACCTGGCAAGAGATGCCCCAGAGCGAATAGCTCAACTGCCAGCTGCAAGACGCGCTCGGTTTTGCTGCTGTTTCTTCCGCGGGGTGTGGTGAAGAGATAAGACAGAATAACTCTGTACCCTGTAACTCTTAAACCCGACGCGCGATGTTGCAATCTTGTGCAATCTGCGTCGGTCTGCGCAAATCATTGAGCAGGTAGCAAAATTGTGGCACAAACCTGTCGGTTGCCGATTCAAGCTCTGCCACAAACTACTCTAGGTAGGGAATGGGGACTTGGAAAATCTTGAATATCACGTTGATGCTCTTGCGAGTCCGAAATCCACAAATGCCCAAGCCCCCCAAAAAGCAATCAATTCCTGCTTTCACAAGTCAATCTGGCCCATCCCAGTCGCGAAGAGCGAGGCAGGTAGGCAGATCTCCTCCCAAGAGGGTACCAGTAGTAAACTGAACATGGACTACAAGAATCCTGATGCGAGTAGGCATGCTGTTCCAGTGAAATCTGTGACTAACAACGACGACTGCTTTTGCTATTGCCACTGCTACTGCCACTGCCACTGCTCCTGCTACTGCTGCCGCTATTGCTGCCGCTACTTCCGGGGGTTCCGTCCAGGGACCCTGGAGTTAGATTGCCTTCACAAACTCATTACATACCTATGACAATAGGTTTTCTCACGTAAAACCCAGGCTCCAACAAAGAACGGCTGCTGCTGCTGCTGCTTCTACTACTACTACTACTACTACAACAACTACAACAACAACAACCACAACGACGACAACAACGACAACGACGACAACAACGACAACAACAACAACAACAACAACAACAACAACGACAACTGCTGCTGCTGCTGCTTCTACTACTACTACTACTACTACAACTACAACTACAACTACAACTACAACTACAACTACAACTACAACTACAACAACAACAACAACAACAACAACAACAACAACAACAACAACAACAACAACAACAACAACTACTACTACAACTACTACTACAACTACTACAACTACTACAACTACTACAA